TATATATATATATATATACTACACACATATATATATATATATATACTATCTACTACACTAGTTAGTATTATATATATACTACATAATATATATACTACACATACACACACACACACACACACACATATATATATATATATATATATATATACATAGATTTACTTGTATGTATGTCTGCGTGTGAAGATATATGTATATTTGTTGCCAAATATAATATGAGCTTCGAAACCAATATGGACACTAAAATTTATTGTTTTGTTGATTTTCCTTTCTCAATTTTAACCTCAGGTGAGTCTTATGTGTTCCTCTTGGGCTACCCTTGCATTTATTCGTAAATTATGTAAATGGGTACTGTGGTCTCGCACAATGGAATAGTGGCTGTGAACTAAATAGTGTTTCAACTTATGACCACACTCTGTCCAACGCGATTATTTTTGCTGCTCACATTTTCTACTCGACAGAAAATGAAAGCGAAGATGATACGTCGGGTGAATTCATCAGTATCAATCATAATCGTAGTCTGGTATTTGTTGTATTTTTTTCAATCTCGGTTGTTCTACTGAAGGTACGATTTACTGTGCTATTGTCTTGCATGTTATACTGTGCTCAAGTCCTGCGCAAGAATGCATAGCACCTCTGCATGTAAACGTTTCTTAAAATATGCATGCTAAAGACATTATCTCACATCTTCTCACAAAATGATTCAGTATTTTGTAACTCGATCAGTATAAGAATGATACCTGTACACTGCACGTAGCAAAGCCTACTACCCTCTGATACCACCGCAAATGTTTCCTTACAGCACACCGGCACTCACTCCAATGCTGACACCTGCCGAGGCCTTTCACTTTCTGAGTAGCAGTGATCTGAACTTTAGTTCTGATACCGATATGAATTTTCTGGGCGCATCTGCGTTGGCGCCACTCACAGACATGCAAAGCATGCATCTGCCAACGCCCGGGTTCCCTTCCACCAACGATCACCTGGATATGGGTATGCACATGTCAAAAACCAATCACAAGGAGGATAGTACAAGTACCCAGAACAGTTCGGCGGATATGGCTAACAGTGGCGAGCGCATTGACGACGAAGGTATGCGCATGAATGGAGGATCTGGGACAATGATCCACGCTACTACGAACAAGCATGGCACGAAAGGCAAAGAAGATGCGAACACCTGTGCAGGTCCTACCACGTACACATCAGCAACCGCTCCTACTGAGGGGATGTTCGACAGTACTGCACACAGCGCAAACCTCCCACAGCGCCAGGAAAGTAATTATGTGGTCAATGGGACACATCGCAATGTCACAGCAACAGGGACCTGGGGGGATGCAGAAGCGGCCAGAAACCGAGAGAGCAGGGCCACTGTGAGTGAGAGTGTATTCCATGCGCCAACGACTGATTATACCAGCTTTGGCTTTGGATTACTACTCAACGGGGCGGGTCGACAACCTACGTATGTGATGTACATACGGTGCGGTTGGGGTGATTATGTATGTACCCGTGCCTATGTACTCTAGTTTAGTGTTTGCTTATTGGAAATTTCCAACGGGGCTTTGAGCCAGAGTGATATTTTCATATGCATGCAGCCATGAGGAAGTTCATTTTTATAAGTTAGAGCATGACTATATGTAAGAACGTACGTGTACTGTTGTACATGCAGGTTTGATCACATCGGTCGAGAAATTTTATCATGTTAAAATTGTGGATATTACTTTCTATAGCATTGGCATATATGTGTGTATATATACCTACCTCCATTCAACGACACCATTCACAAGGCAATATCAAATTTGTTTTGATATGATCGTATCATTCCTCAGCTACAGCACAATGAAAACAGCCGGGCACAACTACTGGCAACTACCAGCAACTACTAGCTAGCCGTTCATTTTCGAGCACCCGCACTTTTGTATAAACCTTAACACCAAGGGTTATATAATGTTTATATCCAGATACATGCGCTGTAGGATTAACTTCGTTGTATAGTCACATCACTGCATCTTATCCTCCGACGCACGCTCATCTTCATATCCCACGCGAACGCACATACAGCCGACAGCAGGACCAGTTTGCAGTACCCACATCAGTGTTTGGGGCGATGCTCCCGCCCGCTATGCCAATACCAGTCCAAGGTGTGCACGACTCAATCCGTATACTTCGCCCGCATGTTCGTAGTGGGTTGACCTTTTGTCGTTATGTCTCTCTCGTATCTCTCGCAACAATTTCATATGGACGTTGGCGATCTGCGTATGTTGTCGTATGTTGCATGAAAGCGGTATACTACTCTATGGGGAATTGATACATGTACGGAAACATAGAACACATGTCTAAGATCTAGGGTGGTACAGAGGTAAGATTTGCAAGTTAAAACAACTTCTGCATACTGATTTGACTGTAGGAGTCCCTTTAGCTGGTGTGAACCAGGTGCACAAAGCGCCGCTCCTGCAAAGGCGGCAGAGCGTACCGGCCCCAATAAAACCAGCCATACCGGTATCCAGCACATACAAAAGCGGGTCACACTCCAATCAGGTATGTGAATGACATGCATATTTGTAGAAATATGTGCGTATTGAGGCATATACAACTCCGTGGCTATGCCTTCCACTCATAACACGTTATGCTATTGTCATGTGGGCATTGGGTAGATCTTCGCATCGACTGCTTCAACTCCTCCACATATACGCTTGTATGTACAAAAGCAAATTTTATCCTTCTGGTATGCTTTGATACTGTCATACTATTTACGCCTAATATTATTCGCTTGTCTATCTTCCGCTTCCCATGCACAGACCACCCCCCAATTGGCGCCCACCCCATTCACAACTCCAGTACTGCCGCATGCAATGTGGGGCACAACCTCACCCGTAGTACCACCGCTGCAACTGCCTGAAGTGAAAAGTAATTACCAGGCCATACAGGAGGGCGAGGGAAGGTGTGTGTAAAGAGAAGGAAAAATTGCAAACACACCCAAACCGTAAAGCCTTGAACTTTATAACATATTATTTATTCATATAGTAAGATGGCGCATTGATACTTCTCGATTATAATACGCGGCGGTTATAAATAACCAATACTTTTCGGTCTGTTCTATCCTCAAGCGGTCACGACTCCACCTTTCCGTCGGTTTCTAGTTCTATTTCGTCATCTGACATTCCCCATTAACATAAAACCCTAAACCTTAAAAACCCACAGCTCCCGGGGCTTCGTGGACGATGTTCTCAAGGTGGGCAATCGTCGGATACACCACAAAACAAGCGAGAAGCGCCGTCGAGAGACGATCAATATGCTGTTTGCTCAGGCGGCTGCGCTGGTTCCCGTATTGACCCAACAGCGCGCGAAAGGGGTCAGTCACAGCAAAACAGTGATCCTCCAACATGGTAGGTCGGTGGGTGGCTATCCGGCGGTGGTGTGTACAGGTGTATGTAGTTTCAAGATGGTATTTTTTGGTTTATGGGCTCGGCTGTGTTGGAGTGTTCGTGGATAATCTGATATTCATTTCTGCGTAGGGTTGACCTGGCCTGTATACGAGGACGGTGTCATCGATCTCAGGCTGATGTAACCGGGAGTTTTTTATAAAATGATCTTTAATCTAGCACAATACACCGGCAAGCAGGCGCAACAGCACTCACCCCTCACTCATCTGCTGACAGTGAAATCTACCGCGATAATACAGGACCATGCCTTCTTATTTAATTTCAATTAGTTTGAATTATTTCTCACTCCTTATACCTAATTGACACAGTTGTGGATCACCTTGCGGAGCGCACAAGCAGCGACGCACAGATCACACAGCTGCGAGAGCGCAATCACGCTCTGGTGCAGGAGAACACAAAGCTCAAACGGTATGTATGCCAAGGTTGGGTGGTTTTTGGGAAACTAGATTGTTCAGGTCTTTGGTTGGTTTAGTTGGTTGTCGGGTAGTAGATTATGCGGTGAGTTGTGTGCTTTCAGCAGATCGCGCAGTCTAGTAACTGCCCAGGTAAACGTAAACGTAAACACACAGACCGAATGGCCTGTTTATTTGAGAGTATTCGTTGACGTATGCTCGGTTATATTCCGTTATTGGGCGGGTGTGGTCGAGTCGGATCGGAGTTTAGTTGAGTGTGTCTGAATGCAGTCAGTTTGTTACTTTGCTTGATACGCACAAAATGGGTTAGGTATGGACCCAGTCGGTGTCGATTGTGGTTGTGTTGGGGCAATTTACAAAGCGTGCGCTATTGTTCTGGGCTAGGCACTATTGATCACGTTTATCTGAGGGCGGTTGTGTGGCGTGATGGGTTGGGCCGTATAGGATTCAACAGTGTCGAACGAATTGCTCGGTACTGAGTTAAGAGATTTAGAGTGTTACTCGCACAGACAAGCAACCGTTGCAACGTAATGGCTCGTGCAATCGAGATGAAATTTTGAGCATTTCTTCCTTGGTTCAATCCAGCTATGTGGTAGCAATAGTTGTGGAAAGGGCAATTTGCCCTTGGTCTGAATTTAGGGGTGCAGTCGGTGTAGGGATTCGGGCCGAGTTCTGCTGTTTTTGACTCATTGGGGTGGGGATGGGATTGAAGTGGGTTGTATTGGCAAGGTGGGAGGTCTGTAGACTCTGTATCGTACTTTAACTGAGTTTGGGTGGCATGTCTGCGTACTTTTTTGGCTTGGTCGTTATTAGGCTATACTGGGCTTGCTTACACGGCTCTGAAAACTACCCCAAACTTAACGTTTAGAGAATAAATATGCTTTGTAACAGTTTGAGCACTTGGGTGTCTGGATGTAAGCAAATGGCTGTATAGTGACTAGAAACGGGGATCCTCACAGGAATCACCGAGGGGGATGTCTCAGTGTGGGAGATATATACTCCTTGCCTGAAAGTGACACGTAGACTATAATGAAATCACTGCATCCGGAACCGCATCATGCATAATTAATCCACGGGTGACTGAGTTCAGCATACCACCAAAAGCTTGCTGTTGTTTTAAACCGACATACCAGGCCAGTACACAAGACGGGTTAGAATCTCTCCTCCTCAAAAGGGTGTGTTATATGAACCAATACCGCCAGGGGTGCATTGTATATCTCATACAAAATCCAAGCAAATGTATCTTCATGGATGAGTCCACACATGCAAGGCTCTGGGACTGATTACTCATCGATCACTACATACAGGAAGCTAGCTGAGCTGGAAGAGTAGGGGCTTTGTCATGCTACTTCTAGCACGACTGTGCGTGCTCTGAGCCAAGTAAAACTCCACTGCGAAACGCACTGCCACTCATATTTTCAAAGGAGGTGCTCATGGTTGTGATACCAGGAATCGCATGTCTCGGATCTTGTAGTCTTGTAGTGGCATGTTTGCTGCAATGCGCAGAAGCTGTGACTGCACATTGTTGCGACGAAGGATGCTGACCTCAAAACGAGACACGCACAATGGAAGAACGACTAGAATGTATTCGCTAGCCGACCAACAATCTTGATGTTTTCAAGTTTGTTAGGCTGTTGCTGTTACTAGCGATAGAGTCATCACTCAACGCGCGGGTGCCAGTATACTCCTTCCCTCGAGCTTCCATCACGTACACACATCCCCCACATGAGGAAGACTGTATTACGCACAAGAAAAAGAAAATCCATATTTGGCAAGATCAATGACACCTCCATTCGTACACATTGGAAATAGTGTGATTTGGATATAGTACTCAGACTGTGGACGCTATGACAGAACTCATCAGGTGAACCTGAACAGAGAAACATAGCCATAGCCGCAACTGGGTCAACATATTTTGGTGAACTCAGGCGGTTCCATCTCAGGTCCACTCAAGTGGGCACATAGAGGTGAATAAATTACCATACATGTCGAGTGAAATTTATAAGATTAGCTCTTGAAGCTTAGTCGTAATTGTAGTAAACCATTCGTTTCGCTGTTTCAACATATATTTAAACGGCTGGGAGCATGGACATATGTGGCATACGCGCAAGCTCGATTGGTCAGGTTCAGCATACGGATTCTTGCAAAGTCAACAACGCAATCAACAAATGTGTTGAGTACAACCTCATGGTCGGATCAACAAACATTTATTATGTTTTATCTAGACTGTGTCGTAAGTACGTAAATAAACGTTTCTGTGTATAGAAATGCTATCATCTTGAAGAAATAGCCATGCGCAAGACCTAAACGATTCAGAACCTCGTATAGTATTGTTCGCCATATACGGTATTCGTGGTTTGCAATTATATTGAGAACGGGGTGCAGATCGACTGCTATATGTAGTGGTGCAGAGCGTTTTCCAGATACAAACATAATTACCAAAAAGGTTGCGTACTAAGAAGACCCACATGGCTAACACGACAAGCAACCACTACCTCGAAAAATTAAAATGCAACAAAGAGGAGCCGATATACTAATTAACTTCCCACAAGCACCCGGAAGGGAACATAGGATCTAAGCAGAACAAAGTATATACTTTAAAACACTTTTATATATCACACGTAATTATACTGTATACATATGCATATCACTTACTAATATATAGGCATACATATGTACAAATTCATATATATATATATACCCACAAACACACGCACATACAGACATACAGACATACAGACATACGTACATACATACATACATACACACACACACACAAAC